ACATGAGACAAAGTATATGTGAACTGCTGTATGAAAAGTGAATTTACTCTGTAAATCTTCACCCAAATCCTAATTAAAAAAAAAAAAACCATTTAAACATAATTTTAGACTTTCAGTAAAATTGAAAATAGAGTACACAGCTCCCATAGACTGTCTCCTAGGTTCCCCTAAGGTTAGCATGTATATAACCACAGTACAATGATCAAAACTGGGAAATTAACATTGGTACAATATTATTAAATCACAGACCTTACTTGAATTTTAACAAAATTTCGATTTATGTCCTTTTTCTGTTCTAGGATCCAATCTAGAAATCTACACTGCACTAATTTGTCATTGCGCCTTAACCTTCTTCAATCTGTGACAGTTCCTCATGACAGTTCTTTCACGACCTTGACACCTTTTAAGAGTACTGCTCAAATATTCTGTAGAATGTCTCTTGATTTGGGTTTCTCTGATAATGTCTCGTGATAAGAATACAGATTTTGGGAAGGGTACTCTTGCTTCTCCAGAGCTGCTATAACAGAAATAACACAAGTGGATGACTAAAACGAAAAGGAGTTTATTCTTATATAGTTTAGGAGGCTCGAAGTCCAAATTCAGAGTTCTGGCTCTAGGAGCTGGGTGAAGGCCCCTTGACCTTGGTGGGCCTTCAGCTCTGCCTCTTGTTCCAGGCTCACTGGAGCTGGAGGTGTCTCTTAATTCTTGCAGCTGCTGGCTGCTGAGGCTGACAAACCCAAGGTCAGCAGGTAAAATGGTATAATCCCAAGATCAGCAGGCAACACAGCAGACCACTGGTTTAAGTCCAGGAACTGGAGATGAAGACTCAGTAAAATATAGGATCTAAATGTACCAAAAAACTAGAGAACTTTCTCAAAGCTTCTCCTTATATACTGGAAGCAGGCCACACCCCAAAAGTAACACCCCTTCAATTGTTTAGCTTCTCACAGCAGATTCTTCCATGGAAGTGATTATAATCTCATCATGGAGAATAATCACATCCAGCTGTCAAGTCACTTAAAACCATGGTCCAGCCAAGTTTACACACAACCATAGGTATCATGGGGTGAGGTGCCCTTCTCAGCACATGGTATCAGGGTCTATACAACATCAACGTGTATCAACATGCATTATCACTGGTGATGTTAACCTTGATCACTTGGTTATGGTAGTGTCTAGTGGGTTGATCCACTTTAAAGTTACAATTTTTTTATTTTCTTTTTTAATCATTAAAAATACTGCAGGGAAATATGACTATGCAAATATGTAGTTTCTCCTCAAACTTTCACTATTTGTAGCATCCTTCATTGAATTTTGCCTGGCATAATGCTTACTGTGGCATTTCCCCAAAGGTCTTTTTGTGGTTCCCTCATCCTTCCTACATTTATTAATTGGAATTATTTCATAAGGAAGAACTATCCCTTCCTATCCATCCATCCATCTATCTCCATATAGACTTAACAGATACTCATTTTATTCTAGGGATTATAATTCAAAACTCTCATTTGTTATTTTGTTGCTCAAATTGTTTGACCATTAGGTGTGCCTTTTTTTTTTTTTTTTTTCTTTCAACATGCACCCACCTTGTTCAAGCATTTCCTTATACTCTGGCACAACAACATATTCCGGGCTTATTTTGAAGGTTATCTGTCCCAGCTCTGAAATCAATCATGTCTCTAAGTAGAATTTCTTTTATTGTAAAAGGGATTTAGAAACCAAGATCTGGACACTTGGTGTGCTTACTGGTGTAGAGTGTTTTTAGGCCCTCTGAGCTGACAGTACTAGGGAATATATGAACATATACTAATCCATGCTTTCCCACTCCTCTAAATGTATTTCTTTATATTTGTCTGTGTATACATTAAAAACTATAAGTTCCTCCTGATACCTTTGGTTTCAATATAGCAGTGTACATTCTATCACTCCACTTTCCTTATTCCTAATATATTTCAACTACCAGTGGTGAGAAAGTTGGCTCTCATTAGTTAAAATATATTTTGCTTTTTTCCAACTCTGATATATATATAAGGAGCTCTGGTGGAGTAGTGCCTAAGGCATTTGACTGTTAACCAGAAGGTTGAAGGTTCAAACCCACCAGCCACTCCATGGAAAAAAGACTGGGCAATCTACTTCCATAAGATGTACTGCCTTGGAAACCCCGGTGGGGTGTGTGTGTGTGTGTGTGTGTGTGTGAGAAAGAGAGAGAGAGAGAGACAGACTATGAGTTGGGATAAAACAGGTTCATAAATGCTAACCCTTACCCCTACAAGAAAACAATTTACTAACTAGAGAACGGGAGCTCTGGTAGCATGGTAGCATAGTGGCTAAGACACTTGCCTGCTAACCAGATGGCTGGCGGTTCAAACCCACCAGCCACTCCTCGGAAGGAAGGCTGGGCAATCCTACTTCCGTAGTGATACTGCCTCAGAAACCCAAGGAGGGGTCGCTATGAGTCGGGTTTGACTCGACGGCACATAACAACAACAACAACAACTAGAGAACAGGTTTTGGGTATAGCTCTTTTTGCCTTTAGCCTTATTATCTAAAGTATTGTTTTCCAAAATTACTTAGGTCAATTGTTTTCTTCCTCACTCCAATCAGTGTGGTTCTGTTACCCACAGATAATACAATTATGCTCATCTGCTACTGTCTGTATTCCATTTTAGGAGCCCCGGTGGTGTAGTGCCTAAGGCATTTGACTGTTAACCAGAAGGCTGGCAGTTCAAACCCATCAGCCACTCCTCAGAAGGAGGTTGGATTCTCCCACATCCTGATTGGTTTTAAGTATGTTTTTTGAGAGTGTGAAATATCACTCTGGGTCAGTTTTATACAAAAGTATCCTAAGAAGATAGCTGCCTCCTCATTCCTCCTATCCCAGTCCTATTCCTGCCTTCTTTCTACCCATTTCCTCCCCCACTTCCTGTTGGTAACCAATCTCATTAATATCTGGCTTATTTCTCCTAATTTTTTTTTTTTTTTTTTGGCATAACGAGCATAATACATGTATATTTGCTTAAATATACCCTCTTCTTTCTTACATGTGCATTTTCTTATTACATCCCCTTACTTCTTGCATGAAGGGTAGCATACTTTTGTGTTGTGCTTATTTCACTTAACACATACTCCAGATAACTCCGTATTAGTTCATAGAGGTTTTCACATTTTTTAAAAAACAGCTTTAAGGAGTGATTCTCTGAACAGAAATGATACATACATCCATTTTGATCTTTCTAATAGAAAATAGAGGAAACCTTGACATTTAGAAAGAATGCATATATATATATATATATATATATATATATATACACATGACTTTCTAGGACCCTGAAAACATACAACAGAGAATATTTTAAATCATATGTTGTGGTTTTCTCATAACTCAGCACCCTAGAATTACAGCCCCATAGAAGTCTTAGCTCAAACACTTAATAAATGTTAATACAGATGCTTTAAAAATTTCTACCTGTAAGTCATATGATTTTGGACTTTCCCAAAATAGCCTTCTTAGCAAAAGATTAACAATGAAGGAAAATAAACAATGGCTAATTTATGATTAGGAGCTCTGGTAGCATAGTGCCTGAGGCACTTGACTGCAAACCAGAAGGCTGGTGTTCAAACCCACCAGCCACTCCTTAGAAGGAGGTTGGGCAATCTACTTCCGTAGTGATACCGCCTGGGAAACCCAAGGAGGAGTCGCTATGAGTCGGGTCCAATTCGTCGGCACATAACAACAATAACAACAATTTATGATTCTCAGAAAGAGATTCCACATCAGTCAGAAATAAATTTCCTATATTTCCATAGTCTCAGAAATATAGAAATTATATTACTAAAATGACCTACTAATGGAAATTTAAAAACATAGTAATATACAACATAATATTTAGAATTTCAGAGGCAACTTTGTTGGTGATGATTTTAAGAAAACATGATGAATAAAAATCATGTTCCCCAATAACCAACCTAAGAAATGTTCACAAAGATGCACTGTCAGGAAAATAGGGTTCAGTGGCTGGATTCAGAAAGTACTTTCTCTATTTGATGATTTTAAAAGAAACAGAACTGGACATTAGAGAATCAGGGCAATAAAATAAAAATCCAAAATTAAAAAGCATAGTGCCTAAGGCAATTGACTGCTAACCAGAAGCTGGCAGTTCACACCCACCAGCCACTCCTTGGAAGGAAGATTGGGAATTTACTTCCGTGGTGGCACCGCCTCAGAATCCCAAGGAGGGTTGAGGTGGAATCGACTTGACAGCAGTGAGTTTGGTTAGTTAGTTTTTGAGAAGATGTAAAACTGAGAAAATTTTTTCTAGAATTAAAAAAAAAAAGGCATGTTTAAATCCATGGGTGATCCACTAGAAAATTCTTCTATTATAGTACTTATATTGAAACAGAAACATTGTATGTAAAAGCTTTTTAATAAAATTAATAAAGACCCTCCTCCTTACCCCTTAAAGAGTAAAGACAAACACCAGTAAGCAGTAGTTTCTTTGTCTTACATCCTAAACATAGTGAATGAATTACAGCAAATTTTCATGCTGTTTCTTACTGTCTATTTATTTGATTAATATTCACAAAGGCTCAATGGCATACTTACAACATATCCTTTTCTGATAAAGTACAATTGCTTTAGACAAGTCCAAACAGGTTCTCTGAATTGAGTGAAACAGCTGTAATAAAAATATAAACAAAATGCTATGTGATATAGACAGCAGTGAATTAAAAAAATTATTATAATGAACATAACTCTAGTGTTTGACTTGCCCATTAAATACAAGCCCATATGCCTAAGCTCTCTTGGTGTTATGTACCAAGATAGTGATCAAAGCCTTTAAGAATGTTCCTATTATTCTACATTTATTGGAATTCATCATCTCTGTGATTGATCTAAATTAAGATCTGCAAAAGAAAGATTTCCTCCAGACTTCTGGAATAATAACTGAAAGCATAAGTACTTAGTGAAGGGCCCAACTGGAGGACTTTGTAAGCCAGAATGTTTGTTCATAATCATTTATTTCTTTCACCACTTGCTGCCTTTCTGAAAAATGGGGCTTCTGCCAATTAAGCATCATATTTAAAAGATGATAGTTCCTTATTTTGTGATCATAATATGTTTTATGGATTGCTTATGTAACTTGATAAAAGGCAAACAAAAATCAGCTAAGTGCTCTGTTGAGAAGATACCTTGTGAAATGGAGTTTAGCTAGCAGCCTCCTCAGCCCTTATTTTCCCAATGATTTCATAAAAAGATGCAGACAAACAACCCAATATGCCACACCTTGGGAAGAATAGAGAAAATTAGAGAAGAGGCTGGTGGGGCTGTACTGAGAAAAGACTCTAACTAGAGTCCCAGTTTGTGCTTCAGAAACAGAAGCTGAAGAAAAGGTAAAACAGACATCACATGTTCTCCACTCTCTCTCCACCAACTTGGAGACTATGGCTGATACCCATTAGAAAACCTACGTGACCATCATTCTTCCCCTGAGGAGCCACTAAATTACTGGCCACAGTGATAGAGCAGTTGTGTGTTGGAATCAGAAAGCCCTTAAAATTTGAGTAAAAATAGAAGATCTGCTTTGTAATAAATATGACCAAATTATCTAATAAAAATGGATACATGCATATATACTTAGGAGATTACAAACCATTCCTAGGAATGCTTAATATGATAAAATTTGTTCACGAAGAATATAAATGTACTAATTCTCATTCATTAAACTGCATCCTCCTTCTGTTGTGTGTGTGTCGGGGAGGGGGGGGAGAACTCTTTACCATAAAACAAAACAGAATACCATCAGTCTCAGTCTTAGAAAATGCCTGCTATCAGTATTCTGGGCCACAAACCACCAAGAGGTAATAATTCTGATTTAGAAGAAAGGAGGTTCGAAAGTGTTCTCAGGAGCTGTTCTGTTGATAGTATTTACTTTTAAAAAATTACCAAAAATCCCCTGCCATTGAGTCAATTCTGACTCATAGTGACCCTATCAGACAAAATAAAACTGCCCCACAGAGTTTCCACAGCTATAAATCTTTATGGAAACAGACTAGTTCATCTTTCTCCTGTGGAGTGGCTGGTGGGTTCAAACTGCCAACATTGTGGTTAGCAGCCAAATGCCTTAACCACTAAGCCAACAGAGCTCCTTTTAAAAAATTAAGGTATATATTAAATGTAATAAAATGCACTGGTCTAAGGTATTCAGTTCTGTTGATTTTGACAGCTATACACACTTACACAACCAAATCCAAAACAACACAGGAAACACTGCCATCAGCCTGTCCATTCCCTCTGCCAGGAGAATCATTTAGGCACTTCTGTCACCATACCTTAGTTTTGTCTGTTCTTGTATGTTGGTGCTTATTCATTCCAGAATAAAGACTATCAGAGTTTCTAGTCTGCCACCTGACCTAGAAATTTTGGACTTGTCAGCCTTCTCAATTGTGTGTGCCAATTCATTAAAATCAATCAATTCAACCTCTCTTTCCACTCTTTCTACACAAACACACACACACATACACACACAAGGAGTATGGCTTTATTTATTTATGTATATCTATAGCTCTGCCATGATTCTGCAAGAATCATGGAGCTAGCTCAGGACCGGGCAGTGTTTCGTTCTGGTGTGCATAAGGTCGCTATGAGTCAGAGATGACTCGACGGCACCTAACAACAACAATATAGCTCTGCCTAAGACATTGGACTGCTAATCTGAAGGCTGGCAGTTCAAACCCACCATTCGCTCCTCGGAAGGAAGGTTGGGCAATCTACTTCTGTAGTGATACCACCCCAGAAACCCAAGAAGGGGTCACTGGGAATCAAATTGACTGACGTGTTTGGTTTGGTTTGGTTAAAGATATAGATAAAGATATAGATACATATGGAGCCCAGGGGATACAGTGGTTAAAGCATTAGGCTGCTAACCACAAGGCTTGCGGTTTGAGCTGGTTGAATTTTACTATATATAAAACATTCACATGCTAAACAGTGAATAGGTGTGGAAGAGGTGGAGGGTTGGGGTGGACTGGCAATGCCTTATACAGTGTATTCAGGTGACTCTTCTCAAAGGTGAGACCTGAATTATGAGGAGTCAGCCAAAGGAAGATCTGTGAAAAGAGAGTCAAGGCAGAGACCAGAGGAAGTACTTTGATAGGAATGAACTTGTCTTGCTGCGGACTGAGAATGCAGAAAGGCAAGCATGGCTGAGGGTGGTGTGTACAGTATAAGTGGTGTGGGAGGCAGAAAACCCAGGACAGCGAGGCAGAGGCCAGACATTGCAGGACTTGTGCTAGGTACTAGCAATAATGTGTGGAAAGCAATTTGAATGGTCCCTGGGACATAATAAGTACTCAATAAATGCGAGCCATCACGCTAATTACGATCTAATTTTATCTTCATAATAGCCATAATAAGTAAGCACTCATACTTTCATTTCACACATTAAGATATGAGGATAAGAGAAATTGGGTAATTCTCCCAAGGTCACTACAGCCAGCACACTTGGAATAGTCAACCCAGATCCATCTAATAGGGCACTCACAGTCTCAAAAGCCAGCCTGTTCTCTTACTGGACATCATGAAAAGCTCTTCCTATGACTGTTTCTACCCTCACAGGAACAGAATGAATTTAATCCCTCTTCCACATGACAGACTTTCCCATAAAATTGACAACTAACACATCTCCCCTTAACTCTCTCAGTTCCAGGATATCCATGGTTTCCACTAAACTGGTCACCATTTTCTGAAAGTTTATTCCCATTCAACATTCATTAACTTCAGCTTACATATTAAATTTAGAGATCATTTTTAATTCTTATCAGGCCATCTAACATACTCTCCCTCTCAGTTCCCTGTCATCACAGAATGGGTAAGTGTGCTTCTTAAATGTGAATCTAAGCTATTGACAGAAATAGCCAGCAAGACAAGGAGCTGGCATGCCTTCCACCAGTTTTAATAATGCTCTAGATCAACTGCACATGGATTCAGCTTACTATATAATTCAATAATCTAATCGAATATCTGCTTAGTTATTCATTCTAGCAATTTCCAGGCTCTTGTACAAAGCTTATTAGACTCTACTTTCCAGGATCTTTTACCTTCATCCTTTTTCAAGTGTAAACATTTCCCAACTCTAGTCTTGGGGATACAAATGGTTAAGGGCTCGACAGGTTGGCAGTTCAAACCCGCCCAGAGGTAACTTGGAGGACAGGCCTGGTGATCTGCTTCCAAAAGGTCACAGCCTTAAAATCCTATGGAGCAGGAAGCAGTTCTAATCTGCACACATGGTTTGATACTAGTCATAATTGACTCATCAGCAACTAATGACAGCCACAGTCTTCAGCAACTTCTCTGATTCTTCAGATATCATTTGCAGTGGCTCTTTGATTACATTACATTTTTCAGCAAGCATTCATTGGGAATATACCACGTGATGTGCATGTCCAAGTACATGCTAGAAAAGCAAATTAACTGAGGCATTAACTAACTAGTGCTTTCATGATCATTAGGAGCTCTCATGGTGCAGTGGTTAGAGTATTCAGCTACTAACCAAAAGTTCAGTGGTTCAAACGCACCAACTGCTCTGAGGAGAAAGATGAGGCAATCTGCTTCCATAAAGATTCATAGACTTAAAACCCTATGGGGTAGTTCTACACTATTTTATAGGGTTGCTGTGAGTTGGAATCAACTCAATGGCAGTGGGTTTTTGGTTTTTGGTTCATGATCATTTAAAGGTTTAAAAATATGCTGGGATACAATTTACCTAATCCTAGACTTTTCTCATGAGCTAGCTGTTTGCAATATATTTTCAAATACAAAGCACACCTTTGCTTGTTCAGGTTAATAAAACCTAGACCATGATGTAAGGTGGCATGCTGGGACTGAGAGAGATAAAGCACTCACCTCCAGTTTGGCATCCAGGTCTGCATCAGAGGCTACGACATATTCATCTTCCTTCTTCCCTGTGGCTTTAATAAATGCCTGTTTCGTTTCCCAATACTTCTGCTGCATTTTATTTACAACTGACTTATCTTGAGCGTGTCGATCATGTAAGTCCCATGGATAACTGCTAAAAACAATAGTTATTTTATTTGTAACTTTCCTAAAGATTAAGATATTTTAGTCTGAAAAGAACTTACCTAAACAATCTTCAGGAAGTATTTTATTATATGATTATTACACCAAGAATGCTAATCAACTCTTTTTCCAAAGCCCCAAAAGGTAGCATGAAGAAAATTAGAAACTTTAGCAGGAAACTGAAAAACTAAACTTGAAGAGGATTCTGGCTCAAGGTGTGCCAGTGGCTCAGAGATAAACCTGACACAAATGCTCTCTGCCCTCTACTATTTTGGTCATCACTTAAGTGATGACAGAAAAGGAGGTAAGTGGCTGAAAAATAGCAGGCTTAAAATCTGTTATAAAACTTCTGATGTTAGAAACTTTAAATTCTTAAATATAAATGCTTGAATACAGATAGCAAACCATTCATTCTACAGGAAGATCACACAAAGTCGAATAAGAAAGCATATAAAAGAGATATTTGAATAGAAATTGAGAACTATATAGAATTTTGTAAAAGTGACCAGAGTATCCCAAATACTGACAGAAAGTTTATCACTGGCATGCTATCCTCCCCCCTGCTTTCCTACAGTCTCTTTCCATCTGAAGTTCCTACTCCAAAGGTCCACAGAGAACCCCAAGGCTTTTCCCCTCTGGAAACATATTCCTCTTTTCACCATCCCATCACCACTCAAAATGTGCCAGACTTGTGTCCCAAAACATTAGTTGCTCTGTGCTGAAAAAACAAAACCTGTCACTATAGAATCGATTCTGACTCATGGCAACCCCATGTGTGTCTGTTGAGGTAGAACTGGCACCCCAGGGTTTTCAATGGCTAACTTTTTGTAATTCTGTTACCAGGCCTTTCTGCTGAGACACCTCAGGATGGACTTGGACTGCCCACCTTTTGCTTACGGTATTACAGACAATGCTAACCGAGGGAATCCTGCTCCATACCTACTCTATAAAAAATACCAAGGTCTCAAAACTTGATTTATATTCTCCTTGCAGATAACAATTACAATCTTCAAATCATACATTAAAGTGATTGTAAGTAAGATTATGGGAAACTTTCACATTCTACTTTATATCTTTCTGCGTTATTTTGAAAGTTTTATTATGAGTTCACATCAGGAAATATGTTATATAAAATATAACATTTATGTAAAATATACTCTATAGAATATGTACATTAAAAGTCTGGAAAAATAGATTCAAACCTTTTGACTGTGGTTATTTCAGAGGGATGGAACTCCCAAGAGTGAATAGGGCAGACTTCTTTGCATTGTATCTTTTTTTCATGGACTTACAGGAAAAAAAAATTATACCATTTTGAAAAAAAAAAAAGAGGAGGGGGGAGAACTTTGGTCACAGAATAGAGCCATCCCATTAACATAACGAGGCAAGAAGCATAAATAAATAAATAAATAAAGACAGCCTGGCAATTCTTAGAGCACTGTCAAGTGAGGATACTCAAAAATTAAATCCTTCGTTGTTGTTGTTATGTGCCGTTGAGTCGGACCCAACTCATAGCAACCCCTCCTTGCGTTTCCAAGGTGGTATCACTACAGAAGTAGATTGCCCAATCTTCCTTCCGAGGAGTGGCTGGTGGGTTTGAACCGCCAGCCTTCTGGTTAGCAGCCAAGTGCCTTACACAGCCATTTATTAATTACCTTTAAAAACTCATTACATTTTAACATATGCAAAAATTCTTTTGAAGTTTGACATTTGATATGATAGAAAATTGGGCCTGGTAGAGTGGAGAGAGATTAAAAAGTACATTCCTCATTTTAATTAATTGCATATTTGAAAAGTGAAAACATACACTATATATTATTTTTCATGATACAATTAAAGAAAGTAAAAATTCTTTGTTTGATGAGTCACAAGTTTAAAAAAGTTTAGAAATACTGCTTGAAACAAATCTGCAATTTATAAGAAATTTAACATGTTGCTTAGATGTGTGATAGGCATATAACTGACAGAGGTGACAAGACCTATGATTATCATCACATTTATTTTACTCAGCGTCATATAGTACTTCTAGTTGTAATTGGCTCCCAAGTGTTCATGAGGGTTTAATGTCATGTATGTAAAATAACGAATCTTAGTTGTGTGTGATTGTAGAGTCATTTGTTATTGTATAGCTGTTCTATATAAAATTCCCTTATAACTTTACAGCTAATGTTAGAAGTAGTAAATAAATTAGTGGCCAAAAATGTATCAGCTCATTACATTAAAAAATGGTAGCAAGAAAAACTACAGACTTCCCAAGAGAAAAGTTTTACATAAATGCACTTATTAGACAGAAACATATTGGGTAATAATTTATAACATTTTTGGTACTTGGTTTTTATACTATATTTAGTAAGGATACTGAACTTGACTATACTCAAACATTGGATCAGGGCTAACAGGTTATTTTACTGCTAATGTGTCTCTTGCTTTTCCATTCAATGGACATTTACTGACCACAAACTATGTTCTTTCTTCTTTTAGTACTCTCTCCCAATTTAAAAAAGACTACAGATTACTTACCATTTATGTCCTGACATGTTTTTTCCTTCTTCTTTTTCTACTGCTGATGATTTGGGGAGAGGGTTCAGGGAAAAAGCATAAGAGGATAAATTATATTATAACCTGAAATAAAACACATGTTGAACAGTTACACATATATTATAATTATATATTAATTTGATAATTTTATAAAATTTTTCAATCTAAGCCACTTCTTGTTGTATTTTAGGGGGCAAACACACAGATTTATTGAGGGTAGTTTAGCTAAAGCAAACCCACTGTGATTGAGTTGATTCCGACTCATAGCAACCCTATAGGACAGAGAAGAACTGCCCCATAAGGTTTTCGAGGCTGTAAATGTTTATGGAAGTAGACTGCCACATCTTTTTCCTGTGGGGCAGCTGGTGGGTTTCAACAGCCAGCCTTTCCGTTAGCAGCAAAGCACTTTAACTACTGTGCCACTAAAGCTTCTTAGCTAGGAAACACTGTAAGGAAATATCTCAACTGAACTTTAAGTGATCAGGCAGAGTTTGAATGAGAAAAGCAGGCTGCAGAAGACTACATAAGATATACCATTTATATCAAGATTAAAAACATGCCCCCCAAAAAGTACTATATATTGTTGAGAGATACAAATGACATAGTCAAGGTATAAAGAACTGCTCATGAATGATCTACACTAAATTCTGGATAGTGGTTACTACTGCAGGGGAGAGCTGGGGATGTGATGTGAAAATGATATATAGAGGCTTCAACCGTACACGTAAGGTTCTCTTTGTGAAGCTAGGTGGTGAGTATATTCTATATGCCTCTTTATAGATTTGAAACATTTCCTAATAAATCTTTTAAAATATCGAAACAGGGCACAGCAAAAACAAAGCAAAACAACAGCAACAAAAAGCAAAGCAAAATAAAAAGTTGATAAGCTATCGGGATATCAAAGGAGACCAAACCCAACCCAACCCACTGCCATCAAGTTGATTTCAACCCATAGGGACCTTACAGAACAGAGCAGAACTGCCCCATAGAGTTCCAAGGCTGTAAATCCTTATGGATGCAGACTGCCACATCCTTCTCTTGTGGAGCTACTAAAAGCTCCAAATCACAGACCTTTTGGTTGGCAGCCAAAGATGTTAACAATTATGCCACCAAGATACGATTACTTTAGCTAGTACTGGTGTAGAATTGTATTTTTATCTCATTCGTAAATACAGAGCCACTTAATGCTTTTGCCCTTCACTCCGTCTGCCTCACTTGTGAAGGCTAGTTAATACCACTGCCAGAGTCACCCAGCCTAGCCACAGCACCAGCCCACACTTACCCCTCAGTTACCAGAGAGAGCTCACTGCCTAAGTGAATAGCCTTTGGTCAGACAAGAGCCACTGGCTGCCAGACTGTGTACTCAGCACATGAGTGGTTCTAGCTGGCTCCATAAAACCAATCCTTCTCCTTCGGCCTCAGAAAGGGTCCATCCAGGACCTCTAAAATGATGAGAGCTTTGGTTTTTTAAAGGTTTGAAGGGAACAAAATTAAGGTGTTGAAATTTTAGGCATCAAGAGAGGGGAAAAGGGAATTTGCTGTGGCAGCATCCCATCATCGATACTGTGGAGGGCATCCAGGCATTTGGACAAGTCGCTCTGGGGGTGACATTCATGATGAGTAAGCTTTGTCCTCCACTCAGGGCACAACTGTGGTGAGGCCACAAACGTCCAGTCCTCACACTACCCACACAGCTTCTCTGCAAGTGTACTCTTACTTTATTTAGCTCTAAACCAAAATTTCACATAGAAAGAGGTTGTGCAAAGGAAACAAAATCCTTTCACTCTCCATCTCAATTACATTTCCCCATGAACTATGTCGTTTGTTGTTGTTATATGCCATCGAGTCGGACCCGACTCATAGCGACCCCTCCTTGGGTTTCCGAGGCAGTATCACTATGGAAGTAGATTGCCCAACCTTCCTTCTGAGGAGTAGCTAATGGGTTTGCAGCAAAGTCTATGATTAGCTAATAATTAAGTTCATGAGTCTATAAAGGAAGACCTTGTTCCACTTCTAATACAAAACATTTATGAAACAAGTCCAGAATAAATGGGGTTATGTCTTCAGTGTATTAATGGCACAGAGACTTCTGAAAGTTCTATTTGTGACCATCTTGCCTTGGGAGATAAAGAAGAGCAAGTATCAAAGTTGCTTATGAATTCTGAGTACCATGATAACAAAGATAAAACCATGAATCTTGTTACTGTCAGCAAAACCTGACATGAATGTGTTTCACTAGATTGTGGTTTCCCAAGGAGGACGAAGCAGATGAGCCAATAATAATTAAAATCTACTCAAAGTAGTGGAGGCCCAAGAGTTAATACATCCATGAAAAGCAAGTTCCCAATTTTGATATAACATCCCTGGGGAAAAGGAGTCCATGAGGAGCAGGCTCTGTGTCTAAGACAAAAATGAAGGAGAAAGTATCTCCCTGCTCAGAGGTAGAGAGCTCCAGGGTTCAAACCTGAGGTTGCAATATGTTTACCACAGGATCCAAAACCAGACATCAAAACCACTACTGCTATCAGCCACATCCATCTGGCTGAGAGACTATCTGATCCCTTGACAAAAATTGGGAGAATGGGAGGAGGGATGTTATATGGCATGAGATTGACTTCAGATTTTTTTGAGGAGTTAAGCGTCCCTGGGTGATGCAAGGAGTTAAGCACTACGCTACTAAGCACAGAAAGTTCGGTGGTTTAACTCCACCCAGAATTGCTTCAAAATAAAGTCCTGGAGCTCTATTTTGAAGGATAGGAGCCATTGAAAACCCTATGGAATGGAGTTCTCTGACACACATGGCATGGCCATGACTTGGAATTCACTCTAAAGCAACTAGTTTGGTTTTTTTTGTGTGTGATAACTAGGCTCATTTTTCTTCTTTACATGTTTGCTCTGTTCAGTCCTCAATTCTATCCACCCATAGATAAAAGACTAGAATAATCTGTTCCACTTGTTTTTACTTCCTACAGCCAGTTAAAAGACTGTTTTGAACAAACTGGACAGCCAATATGTGAGCAAAAGTTCTTCCTAATAACCTTAGGTTCAAAGATTGATAAAACAAGCTTGGTTTTAAGCCTAAAGTTTGATACATGGTTACAAAGTTAGATGAGTCAGTCTGTCCTTGACTGCCTTAAACCCTGATTCTGGATTCTCCTCCTTGGAAATATAGTATGGGAAGACACCTACATTCCACATAGGCTGGCTTCAGTCATAGCGACCATTTGTTCTGTCACTAGAACGCTTCCCTATGAGCTTCCTCAAGGCAGCAGTTAGCTAATAGCACCTGACGTTTGAATTACCCAACAGTTCTAAAGCTCATGAACCAATATTTACTCAAAGTCAAGTCAGTAGTCCAAGTAAGATAAGTACTCATTTCACCACAATGGTAAACTCAAACCCATTACTCCACAAAAAATATTTCAACAGGCAACTGGCTTCCTCTTGGATCCCATTTTTTAACGTTGTGTTTCCTGTGCAAAGTTTCATGTCTCAGCTACTGGTCCAACTTCAGTAGTGGAAAAGAGTGAACTTTTATTACTGTCATTATTAGTCGGAGTACTAGCTGAATCTGAATCCAGAATCGCTTTTTCTTGTATGTGTAATGAGCATATGGTGAATAATGCAGATATAAGCCATAGCCAAATTTATTTTCCTCTCTAATTTATTAAAAATTCCTATTTTCTAGTATATATTATCTAGTTCTGTGTTAGAGCTCTTCAGTTCTGTTATGCAGACTGGCATTTAAGCTTTCTTTGGAAAGTGAGCCATTTTTTTTCCCCCATAAGAAATACACTTTTTAAGGAGAACAGAAGAATCTTGAAGTGAGATGGGTGTAAAGTGGTGTGTTAGGATCCTCCCCTTGTAAAATCACTCACTCCCAAACACCAGCTTCACATCACTGAACCTAACATGCAAATCTGTTCACATTTCAATACTGCTGAGACGAAGATATATTTTACAATCCATAGCTTGGCAATAGTTTAATTGGTGTCATTTTTTGTTAACGGAATGTAATTGTAGGATCTTACAACCAACTTTTTATGTTTAAGGAGAGACAGAATGTTTTTTTTAAAATTAAATCTCACTAAAATTATACAGCATTCCATGCCCCAGAATTTTGGGGCTAGTTGCATATGACTGAGAAGGAGAATCTGCAGTCAGTGAGTGCCAAGCATTGCCTGTGATGGGGAATGACTGCCAGGAAAAGCACTGAGGGTTAGAGGAATACAGAGCAAGGGCATGGAGCTGGTTTCTTGCATGGCCTCTACTGTGAGGTGCTAAGCAACAGTAGCTGCAGGCCAGGGAAAGGGTAGGAGTGTGTGTGGCAGATGCTATTCCAGGTAGAGGGGAAAAATGAACAAATCCTTCCACAAAGGAACTGCATGGTATGTATGGGAGCATGTGTAACCATTCATCAGCAGTTGTGCATTACCACAGCTTAAAAAAAGAGAAAAAGAGACAGGAGGTGTGACTGGGACAGTCCTGAGGGCACTGCATGCATGCTGCTTTCAACATTTAGATTTATTCTGTAGCCCTTGAAGGCTGGACATTCCATGCAGTTTATTTCACATTTAGTGAGCATATTCAATGCCCTGCCTTTGCTAGGCAGCTAGCCTTTGACCACCCGTCACAAATGGTGGAAACTTGTGGCATATGTCTTGGATTTAGCTTACAATTGCACCACAGTAATTTATATAACTCTCTCCTCATTCCATCTTCCCATTTTTTTCAGAGATCAGCTTCATCTGGAAATATTACCAGTTTTCAACATTTTGTTCTTTCACTCAAATTCACATCAGACAATAATTTTATAAATAACTTTTCAGAGAAGTAGAAATGTATGCTCTTTCCTGGTTTATTAGGCTCACTCTTTCAATAGCTTCATACGCATGTGAAAGTTGGACAATGAATAAGGAAGACCAAAGAAGAACTGATGCATCTAAATGGTGATATTGGTGAAGAAAAACGAATATACCGAGGACTGCCAGAAAAACAAACAAACCTGTCTTGGAAGAGGTACAGCTGGAATGTTCCTTAGAAGCAAGAATGGACAGACTCAAATCTAGTATTTTGGCCATGTT